CAGAATTCTGGATGATCTACAGCCTGTGGAAAGAGGAGTTGGGGAGGTCAACAAGCAGGGGTTTGCATACACAGTATGTCTACTACACCAGGAGGCACTCTTCATAACCAAGTTTCTTGAATAGTGTAAAACTAGAGAATGTACTCAGTGAGTTATATACGTTTCACATTCGTTTCTTCAATATCAATCAGTAAATGTGTCCAAGAGCTAGAATCCCTTTTGTTGATCTACCTAGAGACCACAATTTACAACAGCTTTTATCAAATTGGTGCAAAGTTCATCACATACCATTTTATAAAATCCATATTGAAATATTATAAATTATACTATTATATACATGGATAAAGATCATTTTTATAGAAATGTTTATTTTATAGTTATTGTCAACAATTTGAAAAAGGAAACCTTGAGATTAATTAAAAAAGTAAGGTCTTTTAAAAGGGATACGGTCTCTAACTCTGTGTTGTATAAACTTTATTTAAATCCCCAAATATTCTGTGTGAACAGTGCTATATTCAAGCTGTTGTTGTTTCTCCTGTGTATGTGTGTGTGCGTGTGTGTACCTGGGGGTCTGTAGCATTTATCCCCACATGGGGTTATTGTTACATCAGAATGATGAAAAAACAGAGCAAACTCAAGAAATTGTTTTTTGAATATTTCATTACCAATTGGAATGACTTTCTTTATTAAACAGATTAGGGTAAGAAGCTAGTTGGTTATTTGGTTATTTACAGATATTACAGCTCTAAAAATTAATACTCTCTTCTGTGCTCACTGTGGAGCCAGCTCTACACATTATCTTACACTAAACAGTACAAGATTTCATTTTAATCCTCTTCAGTATATAAATACATTATTGGTACTATGTACAGCTGCAAGTCAGTGCAACGCAGCTACCCCCAGCAAAGTCACATGTGGTGATAGACAGATGTAAAACCTAAATCATCTGTGTAGATGGTGCATTGATAAGCGCATCGGACATACGATCTGGGGAGGAGTGGGAGCAAGGTCCCACAGCTACATGTGGAGGCTAAAATTTCTATACAGTCTTATTTCTAAATCCAGTAGTCATAACACTCAGCCACCTGTCACCCAGAGACTCGCCCACACACATATCCACACTGTAACGGCTTCCCCAATAGGCTCCAACTCCAGCCTGGAGTTTCAGGTGCAGGTTCCTCTGATCTGGACCTCTGTCCTTGACTTTCAACTTCTTCCTAAAACCTGACACATGCTGATCACAGCCTTGCACCATGTCATGGAACCTCAAACCCATCTCTGGTTAGGACAGGGAGAGAGCAGGGTGTCATGCCTGACACGTCAGCCTTCTGGAAGGTGTTAATGTAACGATTTTCCGCCTGTCATGTCCTCACCTCGTCCTACTCAGGTTTGAGTGGATTCCCTGCTTTCCACTGGTGATTCTGTGGAGATCAGTCAGTCAGTTATGGGCAGTTAATTGGAAATGATTCCATTTCTGTCTGTCAGTGTGTTACAATGCACCCAGTCATTACGATTTCACATTCTAGCGTGTTACTTGGCCAGCACAAGATCTTGTAAAAAGATCATCTTAGGATTCTTGCTAAACTGACAGATCCAGGAGAGATCTCAAAATGGTTACATTTTCCACACTTGTTAACAAGTTGACTCAAGCAATAAGGGAATGAATGGTCCCACCCACCAGGCTACTGAGGTGTTTTGGTTCAGACTAATAACGGCACTGCACTGTTCCCATATTGACTGCTCAGTTAAGGTGCTACAAGGTGCTGCAGGAGGAGGGAGGTGAAAGCCGAATGTTTTAGTGATGGTTTTGTGATTTGAGAGTTTCTAAGAAACAGAACATCATTTGAAGATTCTAAAAGCTCTGAGAATTATTTTGGTTGACCACAATAGCAGTTAGTGGTGTAAAGTCCACTTCCTGTCACAGATAGATTTTTATTTCTAAAGAAAATACACGGAACACAATTCAGTCTTGCTTGGAGTCCTAGACCTGCCAGCTTAGTTAATAACCTGTGTCAAAGTCAAACTCATTCCTCCCACTCCTGCCTGAATGTGTTGTTAAGTTACCATTGGGCTCCCTAATAGACAATATCATGTATTCTATCAATGTACAGAGTGAATCAAACATCCTTACTCCTAGGTCTATATGAGATGTTTAACCTGCATAGCCATGTAGACATTTACACATATGAACTCTGTGACAAAAACATTCACTAATATGATGAAAGACATTTCCTATAATAGCGGCTCTATCTCTCTAAATACTGTCGTTAAAAAAAAATTAAAAACTCTAGAAGTAAGGACTTCTGATTCATCCTGTATATATCAAAACAGAAACGAGGCAATTTTTTGAAGAACGATTGTATAGCCCCAATTCTCACCAAAACATCTACTGTTTCTGAGGGTGGGTTAAGGGACGTTTTGTCCCTCATACAGACCTCCCTCATAAACAGCAGATAGTTGATGATATTGGAGGCTTCACATATACAGAGGATTTAGCCCACTGCACTCCCAGTTTACACCTTACAGTCAACAACAGAGAATCATATCAAAGCACTCACTTCCTTCCAGACAAGACTAAAGCTGAGGATCTAACACTGAATAAGATCTTACCTGAAAATGTTTGGGGGCAAATACTGAGGATAAAAACCTGTGGAGCTGAGCAAGGCGACACTGAATGCTAATGAAATCTCATTTGCACAATAACAATAAATAGCATCACTTCATGACGTCCACTAGTCAGATGTTGTTATGTTGTACAGACCATTAACAGTGTCTCTGGCTTGTCCACGACCATGATTTTGACTGAGTCCGTGAAGTTCAGAGATCAGGCGACCGACTGACTGACTGAAGTCTGAATTTGGAAGCCACTTTCCTTTTAAGAGCTGCTGAAACCTGACTTCCTGAATTAGGTAGATTGAAAATATTCTCCACAGTTCTGTGTCATGTTAAACCTTAAGACAAAATGGTCTCACAAGCTAAAATTAGGTGAAATTTTGGGCCTTGGGTTTTGTGACAGCCTTCTGAGGTGGTGGTCAGAAACTGTAGGGGGTGATCAAAGAGAGGAGATAACCACTGAAGAAACCCACCTCATTCCATCTGAACATAAGGCCATTGGACTACCCTCAATGGCACAAGGGAAACAGACCCAAATGCCCTCAGACAGGTGGTAAAGACGGGATTCTGTGCTTATACTAGGATTCCCCAATGTAACTCATTGTTCACGAGAAGATGTAAAGTCTCTTCTAGGAATTGATCAAGAACGTCCCCTCTGCCCTCCCTCCCCCTCCATGCACAGGACAGAGCTGAGTCTCTGAGATTTCCACGTGATCTGTCCCTGACAAAGCAAGCCCTGAGATAGCACCCCCCTCCCCCAGTTCCAAACCCTCCGGTACGATGTCTCCAGTGTGTAACAGTACTGGCACAGACCAGGACTGGCATCGCTGTGCTGTGAGCGGCACTGGGCAGACAGGAAGGTGTAAGTGCTGGCCAGCCTGACCCATCAGGACACCGGTGGGGAGGGGGTCAGAATTAGGGCTAAGTGGATAGTTTATAATCACAAAGGAATCCAATCTGAGAATCACTCAGGAGGCTATACCTGATTTTTTTTTAACAGGGTGAAGGTTTCCTGCTCCTTCTGTATTTAGTCACAGTTGTGGGTTTTGTGATGGAGTCTGAGTATGAATGTACGTGTGGGCATGTTTGTAAGTGCATACATCCGAGCATTCATGTGTCAAGTGTGTGTATATGATGTGCTTATATGCATGTGGATGGTGTATATGCATGTGGTGCATGTATGTATGTGGTGTGCACTTGTACACATGCTGCGTGTGTGCTGCAGTACTCTCTGTGTACACAAGCAGTGCTGGGCATCTAAGTATACAGACGTGCTAAGGCGCTATATCAAATGCAAGGATTATTATTCTTATGTAAGTGCTTGTCTAAAACAGTGAGACTGTAAATAAATCATTTGCGCACATAACACAAAGCCACCAAATGCATCTCCACCAACCAGATTCCTGGACAAACACACTGCTTTTACATTGCTGTAAAAACTGTCCATCAACACTCTGAAATGTGAAGCCTTAAAACAATCTGTCTGGTTCCTCAGGGACACAGCACACAACACCTGAGGTGCTGAGACTCCCCGCGCAACCTGGTGATAAAATGATCTGTTCACCACTAGGGGGCTCTACTGCTTCCCCTTCATGGACCACACAAGCTATCTCACTCTCTCAGGACGTTTGAATCTGAACAAAAATTTTGAGCCAAGTGCCCCAAACGGATTGCTTAGTCCCCCTGATGCTTGCCAGTCGACCTGAGAAACAATTGGTATTTGGGAGCCCATTTTACAGTATTTAGCAGGATTGCTTACCAAGATACAGGGAAAACACTCTTAATATTAAGAGTGTGTTAATATTAAACTCAGCTTCTCGTTAACGCTCCTTAATAAAGTTACGATTCCTGTAAATGCAAATCAACACTCAATGTGGATTGAGTCGTGATGGCATTCTCATGGGTCCTAACCTAGCCTGACTTGAATTCCTTGTCAAGAGATCTCTTAAGCTTGAGCCTCTTTGCCCAGAAGATCACAGTCAGAACCAGCTCAGCCACAAGGATGTAGGTATTAAACCGATGGCTGGGAAACCTACCCTCTTGGCTGAGCCGTCCCTGCAGGGAACCTGGTGACAAGGTGACATGTGCAGCCACAACATCAGAAGTCGTGTGTAACCCTGTGCTGGAGTTCTCTCCTAGATCTGACATCTAAAGATCCTCAAACTTTATGTCGGTCAAGTCAATTTAGCCGTCACACTATCTCCCCCAAGTCAGAAGATTGTGGGTTCAAGCCCCCGAGTCTGAACTCTGAGCTCATTGTCAGGGACCGTCCTTTGGATGAGACATTAAACCATGGATGTTACAGATGCCGTGGTGCTATTCCAAAAAGGGAAATGAAATAGTCCTGGTGTCCTGACCAACAATTCCCCAAATAAAGTTGGTCACTCACTCCATGGCTGTTTGTGGGACATTGCTGTACAAATTGTGGGACATTGTGCACAACTTGTCCTCTGCATGAGCCTACAAGTTCATAGTCACCACACTTTTTTACAGAATTCTGTGACATTTAGAATTTTAAAGTCTGTAATTGTAAAGTTCCAACTCAGAGCCTGTGGTGTGAATGGATAGTTACTGCACATGCCTTAGTGTGGAGACAGAGAGGGGATTCCCTCTCTAGTATAGACATCCCTTGGTGTCTGTGCCGGACCTCGTGGGCTCTGGAAGTGAATGGTGGACACAGCCAGAGTGGTTGCCAGTGGATTAAACACGGATTGTGATTCACACCACGTGACGGTTAGTGGATGAGGAGTTGACCTCTCTGAGCCCCATTCCCCTATCCACCCCCATTCCAGCCCCGATGAGCTCCCAGCGACCAGCGGTAATACCTCTCAGCAATTAGTTTTAAAAAACTTGAAAAAGTCTCTTCACAGAAAAAAATATTCACATCATTTGTTCACTGAGTGCTCTTTGTGGGTGTGTTGCTGTTAAACTGCCCTAATAATCTACAATATGAACACTCGGGGTTGGCAGTCCAGCCCGGGTACAGCTGGCAGGGAGGAATCAGCGCCCGCTCCCTCGTTGAGGATTGTAGGAGCTTCTGACACCTGAAATTCCACCTAGTCTTAGTCTGGGGGACCATTTTGTCTCAGAATTTAAAGTGGTGGCAGAACTGTGGGAAATCCTTAAAGTCCGTCTCAGTTCTGAAGCTGGATTTCGAGATCAATCCTCGATTGTGTGGGTTACATTTTGAAGCAGGATGGTGTCACTGGCTAAGACTGTGTGGAATTTTGCAGCTGCCCCTCCCACCCCCCAACCAAAGCCAGGAAGCAGATTCCCAATAAGGCACTCCTGCATTGAGTGTGCTGTCAGTCATATTCCTGGGCTCTCATCCCTGCTCAGCTGGCCCTCCTGTCACAAGTCGGTGACCTTGTTTTCCACAGAGGCTGCGATCTGCTGCAGCCTGTACCCCAGCTGCATCTTCTGGGCCATGGGATCCTCCTCCAGGGCCGTGATGATCTGTAAGACAAGACGGATTGTGGAGACCCATTGTGTAGGGGTTAGCGCGTCGCCTCACAAGTGAGAGGATCCGGTTTGATTCCTGTGCAGGGCAAAACCTTAGACAAGTTTCCTTACTCCACATGCCTCTGTTCACTGAGCAGTTAGTAGGAACCCGGTTGTTAAGTCGATTGGCGGATCGCTTTCCGGGAAAATAATCCCTTCAAAATAAAATGTGGCCACTCAATCCACGACTGCTGTCAATCCACTTCGCAATAAATTCTGTGAAATGCTTTGATGTTTCAATGACGTAATAAAGCGCTATATCAAATGCAAGGATTATTATTATTACTAATATTATCCAGCACTCAACAGTACTCAAGAGTGGTCACAGTTACCAAAAGCAGACCCTGATCCAGTCTAGACTGAACCTCATCCCCACCCACTGGACTCCTTCGCAGATATCCCTCCTCCTCGTCCCCTCCCTTGCCTCCTTCAAGGCCTGGCTCAAGACCTTCCACTTCGATCATGCCTTCAGTCATCTTCCCTCCTCAACGCCCCCCTGCCCTCTACCCCTCTCTGATCCCAACCCACAGTTCAGGTGCAAACGCCTCATTATCCAGCGCCTTTGGACATCCTGCCGATGAGAAAATTTAATGTGTTGTTTTTGATGTTGATGCGTGCAGACACTGACCCGATCTGAACTGACCCTCACCAGTACAAACACTAACTCTTTCTCACATTCAGAATTCCTTGTACAACATACAATGCCACATCTAGAGCGATGTCATCTCCACACTTGGATCACAATGCTCCTCAACACTAACATTCAGGGAATATTGTACTTTTCTTGTTGCTTCCACACTGTACTACTTTATGCTTCTCAACAAACTGCATCTGTCACCTCTTTGCCCACTCTTCTAAACACACTCTGTTTTTNCTGAGATGTCACATCTGTACAGTTCAGGACCCTGACACGAAGAGCCCACTGGAAAGCGCTCAGCAACTGAATCAGCTCCCAGCTTGCGTCGCTCAGGGACGTTCCTGTCCCACTATCGGCAGATGGGTTTTCAGCCATTCTACGTTCTGGAGACACTCTGATTCATCCCCTCACTTCCTCCACTCTTTCAAGGCACGTCTCAAAACGTATCTCTTGGACCTCGCTTTTGGTCATCTTTCCCTTATCCCCTGGATCACGCCCCAAGCTTGGGTGCCAACCAGCAGGGTTGAGCACTTTGAGACATCCTCCTGACAGACGCTGTAATGTACATTGTAATGTAGTTGCTCTCCATACCTGATCATAATACTTGTTAATGTACTTGTAGAGCTCATGCAGAGCAACGAGACAGTTCATTTCGTTGGAGTAGTTCTGTAATATAAGAAAGGACTTTGGACATTCACACCTTCCAGGATAGAGAAGGGGGGAGGGCGCAGGGGTTCAGATCAGAAACTCAGGACAGACTGAGATAACACCTATGTGTGTGTGTGTGTGTCCCTCAGTGCATCACCTCAAGGCCCTCCATCCCAATAGCCGGAAACAGCGGGAAGGCTTGTCAGACAGCAATATCAATGGCAAGCCATCCGGATTTAGCTGGTGACACTCCAGCAGTTACCCCACCACACACTCTAGGGTCCTCAAGCCTTGGCTCTTACCAACCTGCGCCTAATACTTTTCGGAATTAGGTACGCAGGATGTGTCCCTCGAGAGAGAGAGAGAGAGAGAGAGAGAGAGAGAGAGAGTGCATTCCATTCCAACAATCTATCTCTGGGATTTCCATGTGTAGGTGGGATGCATGGAAATCTCAGCTTGGTTTGGATGCTCTTAAGCATGGGGATGGGTTTCCGTATGTGTCAGACACCCGGCTGACCAAAAAAAAGAGCTTTGAGGAGTGGGTAATGTTGTGTTGGAGCCAGTTTGCCCCCTGAACTGGTGCCTGACTGCGCCTTGACCTCAACAGGTGTGCTTATAAGTGTGAATTATATGATAATTATTATTACTATATAATTTATCAATTTATTACTGCTGCTGGGCACCCGAGCTAGGGGTGGGAGCCGAGGAGGGTGAGTTGGGGTTGGGGAAAGATGACCGAAATATTAATATTTAATTAATATTCACAATAATATTAACAAAGAATACTTAAGTGTGGTAGCACTTACCCTGGACAGCTCAGCTAAGGCAGAGTTCATCTCCTGGTCACTGGCGGAGATCGTCTGACGGATATCAGCGTAGTACCTTACAGCATAGACACAGCCATCAGCACCCCTCCGCACAGTAAACCCCCCCTCACGCACTAACCCCCCCCACACACACACTAACTGTACCCCACACACACACACTAACTGTACCCCCCCACACACACACTAACTGTACCCACACACACACACTAACCCCCCCCCACACACTAACCCCCCCACACACACACTAACTGTACCCACACACACACTAACTGTACCCCCACACACACACTAACCCCCCCACACACACACTAACCCCCCCACACACACTAACTGTACCCCCACCACACACTAACCCCCCACACACACACTAACTGTACCCCCCACACACACACTAACTGTACCCACACACACACTAACTGTACCCCCCCACACACACTAACTGTACCCACACACACACTACCCCCCCACACACACACTAACTGTACCCCCACACACACACTAACTGTACCCCACACACACACTAACTGTACCCCCCCCACACACACACACTAACTGTACCCCCCCACACACACACACTAACCCCCCCACACACACACTAACCTCCACCCACACACACACACACACTAACTGTACCCCCCACACACACTAACTGTACCCACACACACACACTAACCTCCCCCCACACACACTAACCCCCACCCACCCACCACACTAACCCCCCCACACACACTAACCCTCCCCCACACACACTAACCCCCACCCACACACACTAACCCCCCACACACACTAACCCCCCACACACTAACCCCCCCCCACACACACTAACCCCCCCACACACTAACCCCCCCACACACTAACCCCCCCCCCACCACACACTAACCCCCCCCTCACACACTAACCCCCCTCACACACTAACCCCCCCTCACACACTAACCCCCCCCCCTCACACACTAACCCCCCCCACACACTAACCCCCCCCCTCACACACTAACCCCCCCCTCACACACTAACCCCCCCCACACTAACCCCCCCCCACACACACTAACCCTCCCCCACACGCACTACCCCCCACACACAAACTAATCCCCCCCACACACACTAACCCCCCCATACACACTAACCCCCCCCACCACACTAACCCCCCCCACACACACTAACCTCCCCCTCCGCACACTAACCCTCTCACACACTAACCCCCTCACACACTAACCCCCCCTCACACACTAACCCCCCCTCACACACTAACCCCCCCTCACACACTAACCCCCCTCACACACTAACCCCCCCTCACACACTAACCCCCCCCTCACACACTAACCCCCCCTCACACACTAACCCCCCCCCTCACACACTAACCCCCCCCTCACACACTAACCCCCCCTCACACACTAACCCCCCCACACACTAACCCCCCTCACACACTAACCCCCCCTCACACACTAACCCCCCTCACACACTAACCCCCCCTCACACACTAACCCCCCTCACACACTAACCCCCCTCACACACTAACCCCCCTCACACACTAACCCCCCCACACACACTAACCCCCCCCCTCACACACTAACCCCCCCACACACACTAACCCCCCCCACACACTAACACCCCCCTCACACACTAACCCCCCCCACACACTAACCCCCCCCACACACTAACCCCCCCCACACACTAACCCCCCCCCACACACTAACACCCCCCACACACTAACCCCCCCTCACACACTAACCCCCCCTCACACACTAACCCCCCCCCACACACTAACCCCCCCCTCCACACTAACCCCCCCCCCCCCCCCCCCCCCCCCACACACTAACCCCCCCTCACACACTAACCCCCCCTCACACACTAACCCCCCCCACACACTAACCCCCCCTCACACCCCCCCCTCACACACTAACCCCCCTCACACACTAACCCCCCCTCACACACTAACCCCCCCTCACACACTAACCCCCCCTCACACACTAACCCCCCCTCACACACTAACCCCCCTCACACACTAACCCCCCCCTCACACACTAACCCCCCTCACACACTAACCCCCCCTCACACACTAACCCCCCCTCACACACTAACCCCCCCTCACACACTAACCCCCCCTCACACACTAACCCCCCCTCACACACTAACCCCCCCCTCACACACTAACCCCCCCACACACAACCCCCCTCACACACTAACCCCCCCTCACACACTAACCCCCCCTCACACACTAACCCCCCTCACACACTAACCCCCCCTCACACACTAACCCCCCTCACACACTAACCCCCCCCTCACACACTAACCCCCCCCCACACACTAACCCCCCTCACACACTAACCCCCCTCACACACTAACCCCCCCCCACACACTCCCCCCTCACACACTAACCCCCCCCCACACACTAACCCCCCCACACACACTAACCCCCCCCTCACACACTAACCCCCCCCACACACTAACCCCCCCTCACACACTAACCCCCCCTCACACACTAACCCCCCCCCCACACACTAACCCCCCCCTCACACACTAACCCCCCCCTCACACACTAACCCCCCCTCACACACTAACCCCCCCCACACACTAACCCCCCCTCACACACTAACCCCCCCCTCACACACTAACCCCCCCCCACACACTAACCCCCCCTCACACACTAACCCCCCCCTCACACACTAACCCCCCCTCACAGTAACCCCCCCCTCACACACTAACCCCCCTCACACACTAACCCCCCCTCCACACACTAACCCCCCCTCACACACTAACCCCCCCCTCACACAGTAACCCCCCCCTCACACACTAACCCCCCCTCACACACTAACCCCCCCCTCACACACTAACCCCCCCCTCACACACTATCCCCATCTCATACACTAACTTCTCTCACACACTTGACCCCTTCACGCTTTGCATCCCCCTCCATCCCCACAGCCTCTGCCTTACGATGGTGGTTCCTGGACATCAGATGTCCGAGCGCTGCCCTCTCACCTCTCTACCATCTGTTTGTATCGCGGGATGTCTCTGGCGTACAGTAGTTTGTTGATTGGTGAATCCTGACATATAACAGTACAAACACCATCAGCAGCAAATCAACAACTGAATAATAATCCTTGGCTTTGATACCGACCTACAGTGTTATTTATCACGTGCAAATGCGCTTTGCAGAGTTCACTGTACAGTGTAGTGACTGAGTCACTACACACTGCACAGCAATAGAGGGAGTGACCAATTGTATCTGGGGGATTGTTGCCAGGCACTCGGAGAGAGAAATGCCCTTCATTTTTCCAAGAGTGCCATGGGATCTTCAACATCCACCTGAACTTATATTATTTAAATTTATATTATAAATTATTATATTATTATATTACATAATATGAATTTATATTATGTAAATATAAGTTATTATGTAAATAATAATAAACCTTGCATTTGATATAGCGCCTTATCACGTCTTCTAGATGTCTCAAAGCACTTCACGGAATATACTGTAAAGTGGATGTTGACTGTAGGCAAATGCTGCAGCCAGTTGCGCACAGCAATGTCCCACAAACAGCCATGGAGTGATTGACCAATTTTATCTGGGGGATTGTTGACTCTGAAGCGAGAACACTATCACTGAGCCAGGCTGGCACAAATACAGCAGCCACCACTCACCCTGCCCAGCTTGTGTTCGGCGATGGTGCAGGAGTCCATGAAGGTCTGAGCAATGACCGACAGCACTGCGTCCACGTTGTCCGACACCTGGACGTCAAAGGTGAAGTGCGGGTTTTTAATAATATTTATCCAGAAACGCAGAGGCAGACTGTGAAGGTGGGGGAGGGGGGGAGGTGACAAAGAGGAAGAGAAGAAAGAAGTGAATTTTGACTCCAGCCATTCACTCATTTAACATTACATCACCTTCATCTTGTTGAGAGCTCAACATTCAAACCCAGTGGTCTGAACTTCCTCACTGGCCTATCCCTCAGACTCACCGCACCGGTGCACAGCCAAGGCTACAGGACTCCCATTTAAAATTGACAAAATTAAGATTAAGAAACGAGTTGCCGAAAACTTGGTTTTAATTTGGAATCTGGTTTAAGAACGGTGTAAAACCGGCTGGCAAATCAACTTTCCATAATTCTGTGACATCTCGAATTTTATAACAGCATGATCCCACAGGATAAGACGAGCTTGAATTTTGGATCAACCCCCCCCTCTCAAAGTTCTCTCTAACAGGAACGGTTCAATTCTGTTTACTCCTAACTCTGATCTCAAAGCTCCTGAATTCTCCTTTTTGCCCCAATCTAAAATGAAATCATTCAAAGCTTATCCATTCTGTTTTCAACTATTTCATTAATCTGGTCTCTATGGCCACTTGTGGGAATGAATTCCAAACCCTGACACTGAGTGAGTAATTCCTCCCTAACCTCTCGCTTGATTTTCTGCAAGGATGTGAGATGCCAATGTGTTCAGTTCAGGGCTCAAGGCTGAGACCAACTCAGCGTGTGAAACAAACACATACCCGAGGGAGAATTTGTGAATTTTACTCACAGTACCATATTCACAAAATAAATTCATTCATTCTTCTGTGGCTTCACCTCCACTATGATTAGACAGGGTAATGAGGATTAAAGAGCTCCATCGGGGGAACAAATATCAGCACAGACTTGATGGGGAGAGAGCAGGGAATGGGATTAGAGTAGAGAGCTCCAGTGGGGGAGCGAGCCCCAGCACAGACATGACGGGGAGAGAGAAGGGAATGATCTGGACAAGGACATTGAATGTAATGTGTCTAAATTCGCGGATGATACTAAACTAGGTAGCAGAGTGAGCTCTCAGGATGATGCAAAAAGATTGCAACAAGATATAGATAGGCTCGGGGAGTGGGCAAGTAGGTGGCAGATGGAATTCAATGTTAGCAAGTGTGAAATTATTCACCTTGGTAGCAAGAATAAAAGAACAGATTATTTTCTGGAAGGGGAGAAGTTAGATAGTGTTAGTATTCAAAGGGATTTGGGTGTCTTTGTACACCAGTCCCAAAAAGTTAGTTTGCAGGTGCAGCAGCAACTAAGAAGGCGAACGGCATGTTAGCGTTCATTTCGAAAGGTTTAGAATAGAAGAGTAGGGAAGTCTTCCTGCAACTGTATAGGGCTTTGGTGAGACCGCACCTGGAGTATTGTGTGCAGTTTTGGTCTCCTTATTTAAAAAAGGATATACTTGCCCTAGAGTGGGTGCAGCGTAGATTCACTCGGTTAGTTCCTGGGATGAGGGGACTGACCTATGAGGATAGGCTGAATAAACTAGGGCTAAATTCTCTAGAGTACAGAAGAATTGGGGGGATCTTATTGAAACTTATAAGATTCTTAAAGGGCTGATAAAGTAGACACTGAGGGACTGTTTCCCCCGGTAGGAGAATCTATAACCAGGGGTCACAGTCTTAAAATTAAGGGTCAGCCTCTTAGAACAGAGTTAAGGAAACATTTCTTCACTCAGAGGGTAGTGAACTTATGGAATTCACTACCCCAGAAGGCTGTAGATGCTCAGTCCTTGAACATTTTCAAGGCTGAGACTGATAGATTCTTGAAAAATAGAGGCATTAGGGGATATGGGGATAGAGCAGGTAATCAGAGTTAGGTGAGAAGATCAGCCATGATCTTATTGAATGGCGGAGCAGGCACGAAGGGCCGAATGGCCTACTCCTGCTCCTAATTCTTATGTTCTTAAGGGAATGGGATTAGAGAGCTCCAGTGGGGGCGCGAGCCCTAGCACAGACATGATGGGGAGAGAGCAGGGAATGGGATTAGGGTAGAGAGCTCGAGTGGGGGAGCGAGCCCCAGCACAGACACGATGGGGAGAGAGAGAGAGCAGAGAATGGGATTGGAGTAAAGAGCTCCAGTCGGGGAGCGAGCACGATAGGGAGAAAGCAGGGAATGGGATCAGAGTAGAAAGCTCCAGTGGGGTAGCGAGCACCAGCACACACACAATGGTTAGAGAACATACTGTGAATGATGTCTGGCGGGAAGGTGTTGTGGTTTAGGTGACTCTGGAGGTGAGAGCCTAGAGACTGCAATGTAAAACGGAGCAGAAAGGGTTAACTGATCCAGGGGGCTTCTGCCCCCGAAAACAACATAAATTGAGAATAATTAATTTCTCATGATCTTTTGTTGTAATGCAAGCCATAAAATACACACAGGCACAGTTTGCTTGGTTGTGTTACTGAGCAGGTCACTGAGCTCCACACTGGCTGTTACCTGTTGGTTTTCCAGATATGGATGGTTTCGGAGTCGATGATGCCGTGATGCACAGCCTGTTCATCCAGGAGATCAAAGAAGTATTTGACAGCGAGAGGCACCGGCCGGCTGGTGCTGAGGATCACCTGGAACAGGTCGTCCACGAACTTTTGCAGTGTTCCCTGTGGCCAGAACCAGACAGGACTCAGTCAATGCTCACAATAATCACTCAGCCAACAATAATAATATAATAATAATCCTTTCATTTGATACTGTGCCTCATCATGTCATTGAGATATCCCGAGCCGCTTCACAAAATAAATAAAGTAAAGTGAATTGACTGTATATTTTATGGGTGAAAATGCGGCAGCCAATTGCACATAGCAGTGTCCCACAAATAGTCGTCGATTGCGTGAAATTATTATTATTTTTTTGGAGGGATTATTTTCCCCAGAAAGCGATCCCCTAATCAACTATCTCCTGGAATCCTACTTATTGCTAGGTAAATAGAGGTATGTGGAGTAAAGAAGCCAGCCTACGGTTTCACCCCACCTGGGAATCAAACCCAGTTCCTCTTGCTTGCGAGGCGAGTGAGCTACCCACTCTGCTATGGGACTCCACGAACAGCCATCAAGTGAATGACTGATTCTATTTGGTGAGCACGTCAGGAGAAACTCCACTCTCTTTTCAAATTATGCCACTGGATCGTTAACGACCATCTGAAAAGGCAGATGGGACCTTGTTTCTTTTAGCTCTCATTAGAACGATGGCACCTCCGACAACACAACCCCCTCCCAGCACTGCACTTAGACTCCAAGATAAAAATTCAGACATGGGGCTTAAACCCACAATCATCTGACTCAGAGAAGGGTCTCATACATGTGGCTCACAAACATAGCTTAGAGCAACGGCGGCCAACCTTTTTGGTCGGCCAACTGAATAAATGTTCTCGATTTCATATGTCCTGATTACTGGCCACGTCGTTGGTAGCTACTGGAAAAAAGGTATTGATTGTAATGGATTGGCCTGGGTTGGTGCCATTGTTTGGCGGCCACTTCCTAACGGCCCCGTGGCTCACACACACGCTCGGGCTCTCACACATGCTTGAGCTCACACACACACTCGGGCTCTCACACACGTTCCCACACATGGTTTGTCCCACAATGCCACGTTGCTGAACCCCCCACACCAGGTCCAACCTTCATGGAGAGCAGTCGTGTCAGATAGATCTCAGGAATGGCCTTTGCTCGCTCGCGCTCCCGCACACTGCCGCGCCGGTGTCTGGGCAGCTCCGGCTCCTCACTGCCCTTCACCAGATGCCAGGCCTTGATCCCACCCTCGTCGGCATCCTCCAACATTGGGGTCTCTGGGGGGAGGGGGAACGGGGACGACGACAACGAAGACACAAAACCAAACTAATTAGGACCTGATCTACAAAGGACTTGATCCCCAACAACTTCAGACCAGCTCCTTTCTTATGTCACAATTAAAATGATCATTTGTTGTCCCACATGATGGACAGAGAGAGAAATGGGCAGAAAGAGAGGCAGAGAGCGGAGCAGAATGATGGAGAGGCAGAGGCAGCGAGAGCGCAGGGAAACATACAGAAGGAGAGAAAAAGACAGGGAGAGAGCGAGACACAGAGAGAGGCAGTGAGAGAGACAAGCAGAGAGTGAAAGAAGCAGATGGAAAGAGACAGACATGGAGAGAAAGACATGGAAAGATAGAAAGCAGCAGAGAGAGAGGAGTGATATGTTTGCCCTCGTGTTTAACATGTGAACTACTCATACTTCATAATAATAATAATAATAATAATAATCCTTGCATTTGATATAGCGCTTTTCACGTCGGGAGGACGTCCCAAAGTGCTTCACAGAACAAACACACTGTAAAGTGAATTGACTGTATATTTGTGGGCGAACGCGGCAGCCAATTGCGCACAGCAATGTCCCACAAACAGTCGTAGATTGAAAATGACCAATTTATTATTGTTTTTGGTTTTGGAGGGATTATTATTAGGCTCTGTGTGGAGTAAGGAAACTTGACCAAGGTTTCGCCCTCTGCCTGGAATTGAACTCAGGTCTCTCACTTGCAAAGCGAGTGCTCTAACCACTGAGCTACAGGACTCCACGATCCAGTGGTTGGCGATCAGGGCAGGACCACACAATCACCAACATGTGAAGATTTGGGGAAAGAAAGTGACAGAAGGTAACCAGGATTGGCAAAGGATGGCGTGTATCCAATCCCGTCACTATCTCCTCCAGGGGAAGGTTAGAGGGCAGTTACCGAGGGAACACCCATCAGGNAGAGAGAGAGAGAGAGCAAGAGAGAGGCAGAGAACTACCAGCAGGATGTGATATTTAGGATTCTTTGAGAAATCCGGGTTTCAGATCAGTGCTGGGGATCGTTGCTTATTGAAACAACTCAATTCTAAATTTGTTACAAGAACCTGGAGCGTGTTGCGATTTGAACTGAGTATTTCTGAACCCGTCTTTAACACCATGAGCTGCAGATTTAAAGTGGTGCAGAATTTGGGCAAATCTTAAATCTAGTCTGAACTTTGAAGTGGGTTCTTTCCCACAAGCCAAAAAGGTCCTAGGGCTAAGACCATGAGAATCTAGTGCCTCAAGTTTCCAAACACATCAAACTGGTTTCGGGTTTGAACATTTGACAGATGATAACAATATTTAATGTTATTTTTTAGCAATCTCTTTCTGAAGACTCTAAAGATGCTGATTTCAGGTTGTAAGGTCACCTTGAACAAGATGCACACTCACAGAGACTTAAATGCACTTCCTGCACATCACTTCCTTACGACCCGAATGTCAGCCATTTTTGTGATTTATAACGTTAACAAAAAAGATTTAACAACACAAATTCCATTTTTTGTCAATTTGGAGAAAATGGGAGTATCAAATATTCTGATTTAAATGGTAAAACGTTAACAATGCAGCTTGAGGCTATCTGTTTTGCGGTCACACAATGCCAGTAACAAAGCACTCACTCTCTCCAGCCATGTAATCATGATTCTCTTGGTGGATGTGTTTGCTCAGTCGGGACACAAGAGCCACTGTGGCACCATCAGCAACCTGCGGGATCAGAGGACATGTCTCAACATACAAAATAATAATAACCCTTACATTTGACACAGAGCCTTTCACATTAGGAGGACATCCAAAGCGTTTCACAGGATATGTGTAACAGCCTGGCGCAGTGGTAGCTCTCTTGCCTCTGAGGCAGAAGGTTGTGGATTCAAGCCCCACAGTGGGACTTGGAATCACATAGTCTAAGCTGACGCTCCGATGAAGTGCTGGGGGAGGGGGTTGCAATGTTGGAGGCGATTTCCTTTGGGTGAGACGATAACCGAGGTCCCGCCTGCTGATTCAGATCCCATGGCAACATTCAAAAAGGGAGTTTCTTTCACCGGGTGTCCTGGCTGATAATTCCCCAAATAATAATAATAATAATCCTTGCATTTGATAGAGCGCCTTATCATGTCTTCGAGATGTCTCAAAGCGCTTTACAGAATATACTGTAAAGTGAATTGACTGTATATTTTGTGGGCGAAATGCGGCAGGCAGTTGTGCACAGCAGCGTCCCACAAACAGTCGTGGATTGAAGTGACCAATTTTTTTTAAAAGGAATTATTACCCCCGGAAAAGCAATTCGCCGACTGACTAATAACCGGGTTCCTACTTAATGTTAGGTAAACAGAGGCGTGTGGAGTAAGGAAACTTGCCAAACATTTTGCCCTGCCGGGAAGCTAACCCAGGTATCTTGCTTGCAAGGCAAGTGCTCTAACCACTGAGCTACAGGACCCCACTAAATAAAATAGGTCACTCACTTCATTGCTGTTTGTGACATTTTGCCGTGTGCAACTGGCTGACGCATTTCGTTCACAAAATACGGTCAATTTATTTTACAGTATATCCTGTGAAGGGGTTTGAGACGTCTCTACGATGTGATAAGACGCTATATAAAATTAGTATTATATACTGTAAATTGCAGCAAATGTGTGTTTTGTAAGACCAATATGCACACAGCAATGTCCCACAAACAGCTAAGGAGTGAAATTTATTTGAGGAATTTTTGACCAGAGCACTGATAGAAACACAGTTCTTTTTACCAAATGTGCCATGCGATCTTTAATGTTTAATGTCTCACCTGAAAAGCGGCACCTCTGACAATGCACACTCTGCAAAAAAAAACCTTGCATTTGATATTGCGCCTTTCACATCAGTACGACGTCTCAAAGCTCAATTTTGCACACAGTAAAGTCCCACAATCAGCTGTGAAGTGAATGACCAATTTATTTTGCAGGATACCAGGATATTTAACATCCAGCTGAACAGGCAGACAGGAACTCACTTTATCATCTCATCCGAATGGCAGCACCTCTGACAATGCAGTGTTATCCCAGCACTGTACAGGAGTGTCAGCCTAGACTGTGAGTTCGGTCTAGACCAGACTGCGTAGTTAGAAAATACGATATTGACAGCATTATACAAATAAATAAAATCTAGACATTTTCATACGATGACCTCAGCCCACCTTGTAATGCTGCAAGGTGTTCAGCCGCTTCCAGTTCCCCTGCAAGACCGACGTCAAGTCTTCATCTGAAAGGATCAAATGTCCAGCCAAACCTGATCTCCACTCTAATTCCACAAACACAATAAAATACAGCTTTTACTTGAACACCAATTAATGTCAAAATCAGTACAGCATCAATAACAACAAAATACATTTATATAGTATCTTTCCCATTGGGAAGACTTCTCAAGGCCCTGGACAGTTGAAGGTTTTGCACCTGGCATCGGGCTGGAGTCAAGAGGGATGGAGGGCAATGGTGGATGGTGGTGGGAAAATGAACAAAGGCAAAGTCAAAGAGGAGAGGGCGGGGGGTTGTAGAGCAGGCCAGTTCCTGCCACGTGGAGGGAGTGGGCGGGTTGGTAGGGTTTTAGGAGGTCACAGAGGTAAGAAGGAGCAAAACTGTGGAAGGTTTTTAAGGTAAGAACTTGATCCTCTGGGGGCTGGGGAGCCAGTGAAGCCGGCCGAAGATGGGGGTGATCATTTTGCAGAGTTTAGCATCATTTCCCAATCTCAACCAGAATGAGCTACACATTCTCAAGCCCACCAGAGCAAGTGCACACATTGCTCTCAATGCTCACGTATGTTAGTTAGTCAGATGATACATTAATTTCAATGGAGTTCCCACTCTCCTACATATCTGCAGAACAATGTGCAACCCTCCGGCATCCTCTTTCTTACCGAGGTCAAGGGTTTCCACATGTGGTCGCAGCGAGTAGGTCACTCCTTTGTAGATTTGGTCAATGATCTTCTCCTTGACCTGGGTAATGGTGTCACAGTCCAGCACCTTCACTGGAGCAGGTTGTCCGTCCCCTGCTCCTTGCACCAAGACATTCAGTGTCTATGTGAAATGTTTTGGGGGAAGGGGGAGGGGGTATCACACACAGAGCAGAATAAAGTCAGTAACAACAGAAGGAATTGGCATTTCCCAGCAATAACACCACATACACTGATTTGTGAGCATAATAAAAATCCTTGCATTTGATACAGGGCCTTAACATGTCATCAAGACATCTCAAAGAGCTTCCTAGACTATGTATTCTGTGGGCGAAACATGGCAACCAATTTCATACAGCAACGTCCCGCAAACAGCCATGGAGTGAGCGAACAATTTTAGAAGGTTGATGTTTCGATGCTTCAGGAGTCAGACTGGGCTGGAGTGGCCGCTCTGTGTGTCTCACATTCCCTCATGCAGCTCTCAGCCCAGCCGCTGATTTACACCCAAATCATTGGCAATTGATGGTCTGTGCAGCTCACTGAATTAAGCGCTTGATGCGATCTGTTAAAGAAAACTTCAGCTAGAAGTGACTTTTAATCTACTGAAGCGATGAGACAGATTAACTCAGTTGCAGGGCTGGTGGGGGAAGGGTGGCGGGGGTGGGAGCGATGCAGAATCTGGGCGGATCATACAGTCACACTGCAAGTCCTAGGCAGTGACCTCAATTAGACCCAAAAAACAAGCCTCTCGGTTACATACACACAAAAAGATTGTAATAACTAACTAGCTCACGCAGTCTGATCTCAACTCTTCACATCCTTTCTCTCCCCTCGGAGGTTGGGAGGGGCCTGAGATTGGGAAGGGCTTGAGATGAGGGGAGGGGCCTGAGTTGGGGGAGGGACCTGAAATTGGGAAGGAAGGTGCCTGAGATTGTGTGGGGAGGAGCCTGATATTAGGTGGGGAGTAGTCTGAGATTGGGTTAGGAGGGGCCTGAGATGAGGGGTGAGGCCTGAGGTGGGATAGGGGCAGGGCCTGATACTGGGAGGGAAGGGGCCTGAGATTGGGTTGGGTGGGGCCTGAGATTGGGAAGGGCCTGAGATGAGGGGAGGGGTCTGAGATTGGGTGGGGTGGAGCCTGAGATAGGGTGGGGAGGGGCCTGATATTGGGTGGGGAAGAGGCTGAGATAGGGTGGGGCAGGGTCTGAGATGTTGAGTGTTGAGGTAGATACCAGTGTACGATACTCCACATCCTCTCGGAGCAGCCTGTTGTCATTGAGCGTGTACTTGGCTTTCCCAGAAACTGCATCCACAGGGCCTTTATCCACCTGGTGTTTGATAGCCCGAAACAGCATGTACAGCGATTCCCCGGCAGAATCCTGGAGATATATGAACAGAAACAATTACCATCATATAAGCAAACTAAGAACAAAGTAAACATCTGGCACACATGCTCACCCACTGAACCCATTATGCTCCAGAGAGTCAAATAGGATCAGAAGACTATTGTGGTCCATCAGCACAATTATTCCTTTTCCAATGATATAAGACTCTGGCTCTCAAACTCTGGCCCTAGGCACCTGCCGCCCAGTTTAGACCCTCGCACTCTTACACCATTCAATGTCACAGAGCTGCTGTAAGATCACTGCATATTTCAATTCTCACATCACTATGATTCAAAGGCTTTCCTGCTGTCGCAACTTCAAAGAAACGTGAAGTCTTTCTCCTGATTAATATTCCTCATCCTAAATTTGTGCCCAAGTTTTGCCCACATTGGCTCCCACATTTGCCGACAAAATACGCAGTCATGACACTTTACAAGATATCGTGTGGAGCACTTTGAGAGGTCCTCCCAACATGAAAGGCTCTCCATCAAATGCAAGGATTATTATTAAATGGATCTTGTTGAGTGCCTTGAGATGTTTATTTTTAAGATGAAAAGTGATTTAAGATGCAAGTGATTATTACAGTACTAATAATTACAGCAATAAATGTGGGTGAAGATCAGAACGCTCTTCCTCACACAGGAATTCCATTTTTGCTCTAGTTTTTGTGAGTACAAATCCCAGCCTTCTCCAACTGGTAATAATAATGTTAATCCTTGCATTTGATATAGCGCCTCATCACACTGTTGATGTCTTCACAACATATATAGTAAAGTGGATTTTGTGGGCAAAACATGGCAGCCAATTGCGTACAGCAGTGTCCCACAAAACGTTGCCATTTGAGTAACAAAACGTTTTTGAAGAGATTATTACCCCTGGAAAGCGATATGACAATTGACTAACAATTGGTTCCCTACTTCCTGCAAGGTAAACAGATGTGTGTGGAGTAAGGAAACTTGCTAAGGTTTCACCCCCTCCTCCCCACCCCCCTCTGGGAATCGAACCCGGGTCCTCTCACTTGTTGGGCGAGTGTGCTAAACACTACACAGTGGGACTCTGTGTATGCTACGTGCAGTGCCAGACATTGAATGACGTGACCATGATCACCACCCAACCTCACTGATCTTCTGATTTTGAGGAAGTGGTAATTGGAGGGGAATGTCACTCATAGGAACATAGGAACAGGAGTAGGCCATTCAGCCCCTCAAGCCTTTTCAATTCTATTAGATCATGGCTGATCTGTACATTACTCACAACAAGGCTCTCATATATACACCAAGCAGGGAGTGGGCTGGTTGCACACAGCCTGCCTGCTCACACCCTCACTTAGCCAGCAATGCAATGTGTGGTAGGAATAGAATTACAAGCAAGCAGCATAGGTCACAAGAGAGCTTTGAGTGTAAGAACATAAGAATTTGCTCGGCAAAAAACGACCATTCAGTTCACCTTCCACCATCCTGTCAGTCGTATGCAGATATCATGTCCCAAACTAGATATTATTTGGTTGAAGAAGACACTTGATCTCATCCTTCCAGAATACCCACCCTGCCATCCTCCCATTTCAACAGCAAGCTGCTGATTGAAATGAATCCGAAGTCGTGGTCTCAATCAGGCTTCCTGGCAATCCGTTCTACTCGATAATTAATGTCTGTGTTAATAATGTGTCTCCCCTGACATTGCCCTTCACACCCCTGAACCAACGCCCTCTTGTCCTGCTGCCTCAGTGAATCTGATCCTATTGCTCTGGTTTTATTTTTTCAATCCCAGTTAACGTGTGATATTTCTCTATAAGCACCTTCAGAGATATCTATTCAAGGCTGAAGAGCTCGAGCTTATCTATCGTTCCTCAAACCACAGTTTTCTGTGGATGAGAGCTAACTGTCTTCAGTTGAAAGTTAACATGACCGAGGCCCCCCTGATTGGCTCTCATCAACGCCTCCACACCTCAGGCATCACCATCTAAGGATGCACACTCCACCTTACTAAGCCAGTCTGGAACCCTGGCGTCTTGTTTGACCTTCAACTATCCTTTCTACCCCACATCCGTGTCCTGACCTGCTCTGCCTTCTCCCACCTCCACAACGTTGCCTGGCTCCGCCACTGTCTCACACTGCAAGTCGCTGACACCCTCATACACGTATTCATAACATCCAGGCTTGACTGTGCAAACTCCCTGCTTGTTGGCCTCCCCCTCCATAGGCTGCAGATCATCCAGAATTCTGCAGCCCGTGTCTTCTCCTGCAGCAGGCTTCGTGACCGATTCCTCTGGTTTCCCATCATACATAGGATACAGTTCAAGATCCTGGTCCTCACTTTCAAAGCCCTCCATGGCCTTGCTCCCCCCTACCTCTGCGACCTCTAAGCCCCTACCAACCTGCTTGCTTCTTCTGCAGGCCTGCACCATGTCCCCCGCCTTGCCTACTCCACCATTGACGAGCGGGCCTTCTGCCACTCTGCCCCCACCCTCTGAAACTCCATTCGGAGTCCCTCCGCCTCGCCCCCTCCCTTGCCTCCTTCAAGATCTTCCTCTTCAACGTGCCATTCGATCACCCGCCTTCCCCTTCTGCTGTCTACTTGCCCCGATCCCAATCCCCAGCTGTGGTCCGAAACACTGACTGTCCAGTGTCCTCCCGACATGAAAGGCCCTATACAAATGTAATTTTGTTCTAACTCTCTGGCCTCCCTCTGTACCTAATGTATTACAGGTAAACAATGACATTCTGGTAACAGGGCACACAGTGCTCTCTCGTGCTGAGTGAATGTTCAGCAAACTTACTTCACTGTACCCTTCAACTGCAAAATCCACCAATCTTGGTGCTTGACGTGTATACAGCAAATGTCATGATTTGGGCCAATAGAAAAGTGTGAAAATATTTGCCCCAAATTCCAGGGAAATTTGCATATTTCGCTGGAAATTGCGGGGAAATTTTTGACAACCTACATATTTCCCTTAATCAGTAAAAACGAAACACAAGGAAATAACATAGATTGGATTGTTGCAAAAAAATTATTAAAAGCTTTTTAACAAAAACTGGGTGTTATTTTGTGGGGGGGGGGGGGGGTGCACCAGCGAGGCTGCAGGAGCTCACCTCTCAGGGCCAGCACTGCACACAGAGAGAAACCCAGAGAGAGACCCAAACACACACACACAAACACAGAGAGACACACACAAACACATACAAACACATAGGCACAGACTCAGAGAGCGAGAGACACACATACACACAGATACAGAGAGAGACACACACACTCACAAACACATTTTCAGAGAGAAAGAGACACATACTCATAGACACAAAAATACACACAGAGGAGAGAGAGAGACATCCACATTCATACAGGGACATTCATAAACACACACATACAGAACAGATGATACATACAGATACATTCACAAACACATACATATGGAGGAGAGAGAGATACAGACACACATACAGAGGAGAGAGACACACTCACAGACACACTCACAAATACATAGAGAGAGACACACTCACAAACGCAGAGACACATACACTCACACACAGACGAGGACGTTTGCAGCGGATTCCGCGGAAAAAGTATGGTTCCAGTTTTCTATTGGCCCAGGTTGTGAAATCAGATCCTGACTAATGTGCACAAACACCCAGACAGGCGCACAGACAGACACACACATATACACATACAAAGACGCACACAGACAGACACAACAACAACAAGATTAGATTTGTATAGCGCCTTTCACGTCGGGAGGACGTCCCAAGGCGCTGGACTGTGTACAGCATTTCAGACCCGAGTTGGGGTCAGGGAGAAGGGAGGGGAGGGGAAGGGGGGGTGGCCGATGGCATGGTCGAAGAGGAGGGTTTTGAGGCGGGACTTGAAGGAGGCTAAGGAGGGGGCGAGACGGAGTGATTGGGGGATGGAGTTCCAGAGGTTTGGGGCAGAGTGGCTTAAGGCTTTCCCGCCAATGGTGGGGCGGGTGGGTCGGGAGACGTGGAGCAGGCCGGAGCCGGCTGAGCGGACTGATTGGTAGGGGGTTAGGAGGTCACAGAGATAGGGTAGGGCGAAACCATTGAGGGCTTTGTAAGACACACACATATATACACAGACAAAGACAGACATGTACCCAGACAAACATGCACACACAGACAGACACGAACACAGACACACACAACAACATATACTTGCACTTATATAGCGGCCTCCACGCAGGGTAGCGTCTCAGAGCACTTAACCAATGGTGGAGCCTGACTCCGAGCTGGGAAGAAGTGGCCGTAAGCAAGGTCAAAAAGGAAAGTTTTCAGGCGGGACTTGAAAGAGGAGAGAGAAGGGGCAAGGCAGAGGGATTGAGGGAGAGTGTTCCAGAATTTTGAGTTGTAGTGGCTGCGAGGGACGAACAGGAGGCCGGTGCCAGTCGAGTGGAGGCCCGGGTGGTGGATTGGGGGGTGAGGAGATTGGAGAGGAAGGGAGGTGCCAGGGAGTGAATATATTTGAACATGAGTGTGAGGATCTTGAAGTCGATCCGTTCGGTGATGGGGTGCCAGTGAAGCCTGGCCAGAACTGGTGAGATGTGGGTATGCATTTTAGTCACACACACACACACACACACATAATACACAGACAGACACACACACACAAGACAGACATACACGGTGACACCCACCCTGAGAAACGTGTACAGACAGATCGACATCCAGTTTGTCAGTAGCTTCTCAACCACCGTTTCCGTCCTGAAAAATGAGGAAAAGGACCTTGGATTAAATTAGTTTATGTAAAATGAAATAAAACCATTTTATATCCTGAGATGCGGTGATTGTGAAGTGGAACCCTCAGCGGGAGCACATTGTGGAGCTGAGAGGAAGGTGACCAAAAGCTCACAGCCTGAATTCCTGCACACACAGAGTGGGCACGTGGAGAACAGCCAACCCAGTGAGATAGTGCAGGCAGACCCAGCAGCTATGTGCTGAGTAGTCAAGAGAGTTACTCAGTAGTGAAGGAACATTTCATTTCAAATTCCCATTGATAGCCAGGCATATATCAATGGTACTGCCATGCCCTGAGCCCAGCTATCGCCCTGCATGGAATCCCTAGCCATTGCCTGCCCTGAATCCCCAGCCATTGCCTGCCCTGAATCCTCAGCTATTACCTGCGCAACATGAGCTTGGGATTCCTGGCCACGTTCTGTTCCACCAGGTGGTTGAGCAATGTTTTTAGGATGTCGGTGTAGTATTCCAGTTTGCCGTGTAGGGACACAGTCAGCAGTGAGGCCACATAGGCACGGTCCCGGGGGGAGAAGGTGCGCTGGCTCTCCAGCGTGTGGATAAACTGACAGAGAGAGGAGAGAGCACACACTCAGCTAGAGAACAGGCACTGCAGCACATCAAACCTCTCTCATACACACTCAGGTGCACACGTGCACACAGTGAAATACCCACCCCGAGGAATGTGCGTACACATACTCCTGCACTTGCTCACTCGCCCTCTCACAGATTCATCCTCACATACTTGCTCTTGCACACTCCCCTTGCACACTTGCAGTCTTGCCCTGGTGCATTCACACACTCACCCTCACACTCGCAAACTCACACATTCACCCTCGCCCACTTACACACTGGCCCTCGCACACTAACCCACACACTCACGCTCACACACTAACCCTGATACACTGGCCCTTGCACACACGCACACTCGCGCTGTACCTTGGTGAGGAAGAGCTTGCTGTTGAGCAGGTTGGAGAGCTGTACCAGCCCCTGCTCCACAGTTTGCCTCCGGGATTCAGGAACATCCAGGTCTCTCTGCAGCGGGGACTCCCTGTGTCCCGGGAAAAAGACCCGCTCTGCGTACGTCTTGTAATCCAGGAAGGGAATCCCCGTGCCGACCAAGTCACTGGACAAGTCCATCATCTCAGTCATCAGGTCTGACCGAGGTTAAACAGAATCATCAGAAATAAACAAGAGAAGGTTTTAAAACTGATTCAACAACCAAGCGAGGCTTCAATCACCTAAAATAATAGGTGTTAAACATCATATTTAATGTTTCACATCACACCCACACCATTAGATTTCCCATGTTACTCCCCATCGTACCTTTACACCTGGTGCCCACTCCCCCACTGGAGCTCTCTACTCTAATTATAATAATTTATAATTGTTAGTCGGTTGACAGATTGTTTTTCTGGTGGTAATAATACCTTAAAAATTTAAAAAAAATAAGACCTTGTCACTCAATCCACGACTCTTTGTAGGTCAATGCTGTGTGTAATTGGCTACCGCATTTAGCCCACAAAATACACAGTCATTACACTTTACAGTATATTCTGTAAAGCTCTTTGAGACGTCTCAAAGACATGATAAGGAGCTATATCAAATGCACGTATTATTATTATTATTATCCTGTCTGTGCTGATGCTCGCTCCCCAGCCCCAAAGTCTGTGCCCCTCACTTGCCTGTGAATTCCTTCTTGCACCGGTCGCGGACACTGGTCTCCAGGTTCTCCAGTTGGATCTGGACTTTCTTGTAATCACGGAGTGCCTGTTTGCTCTTGCGCCTGTCAGGTAGAGCTGAACATCAGAACCTCAGCAATACAGCACATCACAAATCAATGGATTCCCATTACAGCAATGAGCTGTTTCCGAAAATGAGTGCAGTGCCCTGGCCCTAACGCCCTCCCTGATAGCCGCTCACAGTCATAAACTCTCTCTTGTATAAATACTTCCCTGTGTCTGTGCTAAAGTTGCCCTCCACTGCCATGGTATATTATTCAGTCTATTTTTTCGCTATCTGATTTTTGTCTCTTAGAACACCTCAATTTTCTGCAGGTTATAGTTCAGCTACATAGCTCAGCAGTTTCAACTTTATTGAACCAGGTCCCAGACACTCCTAAGACAAGTCGCTCTCAGAGGAACAGGAAGCCATTCAGCATTGAGTGCATTTGCTAACACATTAGATCGCAGCAGATCTTCTCCATAATCGCTTGCTCTTACTTTCCATGTATGCATGTGTGCACATGCATGGGTATGTATGTATCAGTGTGTACATAGGTATGTGTGGTATGTATATGTATGAATGTGTGTATATATGGATGGATGTGCGTAAATGCATGCACGTGTGTACATCTATCTTTATCTCTCAGCTCTAACGTTAAGACTGTATTGCTTTATTGTGGGTCACTGTACGATACAGAACTGTCAGCAGCACTGAGATTACACAGGTACAAATAGACATTTCCTGGAGGCAAGCGCTGAAGAGATTGAGTGCCCTCAGCGTCAAAGTGAACAATTGGATAAGCTGAGGGTCTTCTTAAAGGGGATCTTAGCATGGGAGTGAAATACACAAAGGCAAGGTGTGAAGGAAGCACCACTTCACAGAGTGTAACAATGATTGGAACAGGAACTAGACAAATACTTTCAAATGAGTCAGCAACAGGGTGTGGGAAAAGGGCAGGGAAATGGGATTGTGAGGATTGCTTTTGAGGGAGTGGCACACACCTGGTGGGCCCAATGGCTTTCTTCTGTGTTGTAAACATTTCTAAGGTTTATGGTTGAGGTGTGGTGGATACTGGGACTCATTTAAGAAACAGCTCAATGTTGAAAAAGGAGGGAAGTGGGTGGGATTCTGAACAGATGAGATCAAATAGGCCAAAGGAGCTACTGAACCTCTCTTTCTCGCATGCTCTGGTGACCACAGGTGCAGGGGGGGGGGAGAAACAACATGAAGCCTCACCTGTAGATGAGGACAATAATCAGGACAATCAAGGCCACGATGGAAGCTCCCATTCCCAATCCAATCTGTGCCTCCAGCGGGAAATTCAAGGGACTCTCAGCATCATACTGGATGGTCCCCAGCGTGTAGTTCAGCTTCCCCATCTGCACCTGAGCGGTGAGGAGCGAGAGAGAGAGAGCGAGAGAGAGAGAAAGACAGTGTGAGAGGGGGAGGCACAAGACAGCAGCATCATGTGCAGTGTCTATAAGGACTGCACTAACAACTATGCTGTAGTGTAGTGGTTAGCCTGCTTGCCTCTCAGTGAGAGGACCCGGGTTTGACTCCCGGGCAGGGCGAAACCTTAGACAAGTTTCCTTACTCCACATGTTTCTTGGTACCTAGCAGTAAGTAAGAACCCATTTGTTAGTCGATTGGTGGATCGCCTTCCAGGAGTAATAATTCCTCAAAAAAAATCCACGACTCTTTGTGGGACACTGCTGTGCGCAATTGGCTGCCAAGTTTCGCCCACAAAATACACAGTCAATCCATTTCATTATATATTCTGTCAAGCGCTTTGAGATGTCTCAACGACGTGATAAAGCACGGATTATTATTAGTTGTTGTTGTTGCCGGTGACAGTGGGGTCTGAGCTCCGGCAGAGGGTGGTCCGGAATGGCTCACGTACAATGAATTCGGGCAGGGAGTCGGCGCTGTCCCGCTTGCCCCCTCCTCGGGGACCAGGCTGCTCCAGGGGCGGCTCACAGTACAGGTGATGTCCGGTCAACGTCCGCACCACACACACACCCTCCCCCACCATCGCCACCACCTCCTCCTTTGTGATTGCAAGGTCCAGGTTTTCCCCCTGAAAACAAAAGGGAACAATATAGTGAAAAGCAGGATCGGCCCAGACTCCCCCAGGAAAGGGAATAATATTCCTTGTATCTTCTATAGCACCTTATCACGTTGTTGAGACGTCTCAAACGCTTCACAGGATATACTGTAAAGTGGATTGACTGTATTTTGTGGGCGAATCGAAACAGCCAATTGCGCACAGCAGCGTCCCACAAACAGTCATGGATTAAGTGACCAAATTATTATTGTTTTTGGAGGGATTATTTCCCCTGGAAAGCAATCCGCCAATTCACTAACAACTGGGTTCCTACTTAGTGCAACGTTAGTAGGAACCCTAAGGCGTGCGAGAGGGGTGTGGAATAACAAAACTTGCCTAAGATTTCGCCCCTCTCGGGAATGGAACCCGTGTCCTCTCACTTGCGAGTCGAGCGCACTGACCACTAGGTTCCGGGCTATACCAACTTAAATGGTTGGAGACAATGTGGAGATTGGAAACGGAGAGGCTCAGGTAATCTCGAACTGGTGGCTTCCTGTGCGTATGATTTTCCTTATTGGAATAGTGTTGATGTGCAGTCACTGTACCTCCACAGAAAGCACGCTGCCTGGTTTGTGCCTGTATGGCTTGGAGGGGTCATCGGCATTGAGGGGCTTGAGGAGGGGGTCGGGCTGGTAGGTGAACGGAACCGGGCTGATCTGGTTGAAGTCGAAGCTGAGGTTGTCCATGATGAAGTGAACGGTGATGGAGCCGTGGTTCACCGGGCTGCCAACCGCTGGTGTCCTGCATGTCATGAAGGTGGAGGAGTTCACCTGGCACCACTCATAGAACTGCAACAAGAGGGAACGGCATTAGGGTAGAGACAGCACCGCCCTCGCGCACAACATACACAATAACAACAACAAGATTTCATTTATAGAGCGCCTTTCACGTCGGGAGGACGTCCCAAGGCGCTGGATAACGTCTCATTAAAACCCTGACAAGCTCCTTGAGACGTTATTCCTACTTGACAGGCACTGTGTAAGCATTATTATAATAATTTTCCTTGCATTTGATATTGTGCCTTTCATATCGTTGAGACGTCTCAAAGCACTTCACAGAACATACTGTAAAGTGTGCATTGACTGTATATTTTGTGGGCGATTATTATTATTAAAGCCAGTCAGAATCATAGACATTTACAGCACAAAAGGAGGTCATTCGGCCCATCGAGTGCTTTTAAATATAACATCTCAGATTTATTATAATGCTTTAATAATAATTTTTGCATTTGATATAGCTCCTTATCACGTCGTTGAGACGTCTCAAAGCGTTTCATAGAATATACTGCAAAATCGATTGACTGTGTATTTTGTGGGTGAAACGCAGCAGCCAATTGCGCACAGAAGTGTCCCACAAACAGTTGTGGATTGAGCAACCAAATTATTATTATTATTTTTTTTGGAGGGATTATTAACCCCCGGAAAGAGATCCACCAATCAACTAACAACCAGGTTCTTACTGCTAAGTAAACAGAGGCTTGTGGAGTAAGGAAACTTGCCTAAGGTTTGGCCCTGCCAAGGAATCGAACCCTGGTCCACTTGCTTGCGAGACGAGCGTGCTAACCACCACCCACCGTTCCCTCCCCCGACTAATCTTGCTCACTGCTGCGGCCCTGTGTTACCCGCTCACCGTCAGTGGGCTCAGCCCTCCCTCAGTGATCAGTTTCCGTGTCCTTGGTCGCCCTCGCAGTCTGGAGCCCGAGCGCCGTTGCCGCTCCCTCACTGTCAGCTGGACCCTGATGCGGGGAGACTGCACCGCGTCCAGGTTCTGCCCGTGAACACTGATCAGGCGTCCACCGCTGAAAGAGACCCCGACCCAGACACCGGTCACACACAGCACTTCACACGCTCACCAGCTTTGCCCTGTTTCTCTCAGTCACATCTCCATGTATCACCTTCAATGTTCCTCCATTGACTTAACAGGGCAGTGAGCCCTGAGCAGACTACCCAGTGATCAGTGGATCAAATCTGGGACCTGTGTGTAGTTCTGTGTGGTTGTAATATGGGGAGGGGGGAGTGTTTATTATTCCTCCAAAGAGTTCACCTCGTTTGATGGGAAGCACTCTGGCCTCTGGGAAAAAGCTTATTCTGCTCTTTGTGTAGCTGTGTGGTGTAGTACACAGTGCAGTTTATTCTCTTGCGTGTGGTGCAGTACAGTGCAGGTGTTTATTTTGCTGTGTGTGGTGTAGTACACAGTGCACTGTCTGTTTTGCTGTGGGTGTAGCTCTGGTCATGTCTCACCCGAGGAAGCTGCTGGCTGGAGAGACGAGGGTGATGTTGGGATCCTCTGTGTAGCTGTACAACACGTGGGCCAGGATGCGGGGAGCAACTCCGTACATCACTGTGACGGGCAGCTCTGCTGTCTGGTTGCTAGGGCCGGTCAGGCACTCCAGCTGTTCGGCTCCGATATCTGCAGAGCTGCCGGACAGGACAGACATTCCAGGGCTTAGCTACACATTCAGCACAATGTGTCTACAACACCACATGTGTATGTCAGGGTGGGGTTTGGGGGGAGGAGAAGGAACTTGGGGATGTGTGTATATCAGGAAGCAAGGAATTTGAGGCCCAATTGAACCCTAACTTTTGGCTCCAGCATCTGTTACTGGGATACGAGATGTCTGAGTGCAGTGAGCTCAGACAGCATACTGGGGGGGGGGGCGGGGGGTGGGTGGTGGAGTGAGGTGTGTGTGTGCCAACTTGCGGGGGTGGGGTCGCGGAGGGAGTTGCTTAATTCAATTCTAATTCAAAAAGCTTGCAGTGTTTGGGCTGAGTGAAGTGAAGATGGGACTCACATGACACAAGGGAGGGAGCCCACGAGGACTCTGATGTGGCTGGGCCTCCCTGTCAGCAGCCTGAGCCCGCTGATGGTGAGAGACGTCCCCCCGGCCTTGGGCCCCCGCAACGGGGAGATAGAGCCCAGCACCGGGTCCTGAGATAGGGGGAAAACACAATAAACCAGAGCTCAACATGGGAACAGGAGGAGGCCATTCAGCACCTCCAGCCTGTTCCACCATTTTATTAGATTATGGCTGATCTGTACCTCAAGTCCAATTACCCATAATAATAATAATAATAATCCTTGCATTTGATATAGCGCTTTTCACGTCGGGAGGACGTCCCAAAGCGCTTCACAGAACACACTGTAAAGTGAATTGACTGTATATTTGTGGGCGAACGCGGCAGCCAATTGCGCACAGCAATGTCCCACAAACAGTCATGGGGTGAAAATGACCAATTTATTATTGTTTTTGGTTTTGGAGGGATTATTATTAGGCTCTGTGTGGAGTAAGGAAACTTGCCCAAGGTTTCGCCCTCTGCCTGGAATTGAACTCAGGTCTCTCGCTTGCAAAGCGAGTGCTCAACCACTGAGCTACAGGACTCCACATAATAACCTGACCTAACAAATATCTATCCATCTTAGTCTTGAAAATTTGAATCTATCCAGCATCCACAGCTTCTGAGAGAGAGAGTTCCAGATTTCCACTACACTTTGGGTGAAAAACTGCTTCCTGATTTTACTCCTAAATGGTTTAGCTCTAATTTTAAGATTATGCCCCTTGTTCTGGATTTCCCAACAGAGGAAATAGTTTCCTGGTATCTATCCTATCGAATCCTTTTATTATTTTAAACACCTCAATTATAATAAATTGGTCACTTCAATCCATGACTGTCTGCGGGACACTGCTGTATGCAATTGGCTGCCGCGTTTCGTCCATAAAGTATAGACAATTCACTTTACAGTATATTCTGTGAAGCGTTTTGAGACTCAAAGACGTGATAAGGCGCTATATCAAGGATTATTATTATTATATTATCAAACCACCCCTCAACCTTCTAATTGAAGGGAATACAGACCAAGTTTACGCAGCCAGCCCTCATAATTTAACCCTTTAACTATCCAACATGACCATACAGAGACCAACACTGAATACAGTGACAGAGGTTTGTTGCTGACCTGATAAGTGAACAGTTGGGTTGAGATGCTTTCACTACCGTTAATCAATTTGACTGTGACGTGGCCTGATGTCGAGATGTCACTGGCTGCCGTGTAGCACACAATTCTGTACAGGGAGAAATTACAGGTCAGAGAGCCGTGTGACCAACACACCAGCAAGTGAGACACTGCTCCGCTCACACTGCCCCCCACACACTGCCCCCCCACCTCACACTGCCCCCCACCTCACACTGCCCCCCCAATACACACTGCCCCCCCACCTCACACTGCCCCCCCACCTCACACTGCCCCCCACCTCACACTGCCCCCCACCTCACACTGCCCCCCACCTCAAACTGCGCCCCCCACACACTGCGCCCCCCACACCTCACACTGCCCCCCCAACCTCACACTGCCCCCCCACCTCACACTGCCCCCCACCTCACACTGCCCCCCCACCTCACACTGGCCCCCCACCTCACACTGGCCCCCCCACCTCACACTGGCCCCCCCACCTCACACTGCCCCCCCCCCACCTCACAGTGCCCCCCCCCACCTCACAGTGCTCCCCACACACTGACCACATCACACTGCCCCCCACATCACACTGCCCCCCTACCTCACACTGCCTCCCCACCTCACACTGCCCCCCCACACACTGCCTCCCCACCTCACATTGGAACCCCCCCACACACTGCCTCCCCACCTCACATTGGACCCCCCACCACACACTGCCCCCCCATCTCACACTGGACCCCCCCCACACACTGCCTCCCCACCTCACATTGGACCCCCCCACACACTGCCTCCCCACCTCACACTGGACCCCCCACCTCACACTGCCCCCCCACCTCACACTGCCCCCCACCTCACACTGCCCCCCACCTCACACTGCCCCCCACCTCACACTGCCCCCCACCTCACACTGCCTCCCACCTCACACTGCCCCCCCACCTCACACTGCCCCCCACCTCACACTGCCCCCCACCTCACACTGCCCCCCCACCTCACACTGCCCCCCCCCACCTCACACTGCCCCCCCCACCTCACACTACCCCCCCACCTCACACTGGACCCCCCCGACACACTGCCTCCCCACCTCACATTGGACCCCCCACCACACACTGCCCCCCCAACCTCACACTGCTCCCCCCACGCACTGCCCCCCACCACGCACTGCCCCCAAACACGCACTGCCCCCAAACACGCACTGCCCCCAAACACGCACTGCCCCCCACCACGCACTGCCCCCAAACACGCACTGCCCCCCACCACGCGCCGCCCCCCACCACGCACCGCCCCCACCACGCACCGCCCCCCACCTCACACTGAACTCCCACTACCCCAGCGCGGCTCACACTGCCCCCCCCCCCCCCCCACCGTTCCCCTCAGACTGCGACCAACTTACACCCTTACACTGACCCCCCTCACACTGACACTCCCCCCTCTCACTGGCTCCTCTCATACACACTGGCCCACCTCACACATGCCTCCCTCCCACTGGCCCCACCTCACACTGGCCCCCCACTCCCCGAGCGTCGCTCACACTGCCCTGGGCCCCAGTACCGAGTTGTGGGGGTTTGCGAGCAGGAGCTGACCTGGTGGAGACGCGGTACAGGTCCCTGTCCGGTCGGCAGGGGACATCGGCCACCAGCACCGAGTCCTCGATCTCCTCGAATCTCTGCCCGAGGTTCGACCCCGTGATGGTAACCCCAGTGCCGCCTTCCAACAGCCCCGATATCGGCTCGATCTGGGGAAACAGCAAACAGTCACCGGCTCCTACACCCCACAACCAAAGCCCACAAACAGCCCCAAACCCCACTAGGGATCTTGCTGTGCTGCAAGTTGTTTAAAAGATTCTCGTGAGGTACCTGATGGTGGTGTGCGAATGTGTGCCGGGGCCTGGCATACTCACCGAATGAATGAGGGGTCCCGGGCAGGTCTGCTCCACTCCCTGCTGGCACGTGGGCTGGTACACGCAGCGCGGCTCCACACCCCCACACCACGCACACGCGTACTTCGTGTCTGCCGTCTGGCAACGGCTGCAGTCAGTGCGGCCCACTGAACAGTTATATAGCGTAACTGAGGAAAGAACGGCGCATCACTGTGTCTGACACACACAGCACACGCAGTCTGGCACACACACAGCACACGCCGTCTGGCACACACACAGCACACGCCGTCTGGCACACACACATCATCTATCAGGGATAATTATAATAATCCTTACATCGATTAGGGGCTTTCATCTCAAAGTCTTCCATAAGGTTTTATTGTGAAGTGTAGTAACTGTATTTGATGGGAGCAATTGATTAACCTACAGCAATGTCCCACAAATAGCTGTGAAGTGAATGAACATTTTTACACGGGAGATTGTTGGCCAGAACACTGGGAGGGAGAAATTCCCTTGTCTATTCAGAGTGCCCGGGATCTTAACATCCACCTGAGCAGGCACAGAACTCAATAATGCAGTGCCGGCCTGGACTGTGAGCTCACAGCCCTGACGTGAGACTTAACTTCTAAACCAGAGGCTACCAACTGATCTATGTGAAAAGAGAAAGGAGTATCTCTCCCAGTGTCCTGGCTATAACCCTCCAGGTAAATGGTTACTCATTTCATGGCTGTTTGTGGGACACTGCTGTGCACATATTCACCTGCAAACACACAGTCACTACACTGTACAACAGCTTCCTGAGAAAGGTTTCAAACATTGACATGAAGAGTTGTGGAGCAAGAGTAAGCATGTGGTGAGTTTCAGCGGGAGTGTGAGCATAACTGTGGGGGCAATTATGAGTTTGAGCAGAGGCTGTGAGCTTGGAGTGAGCATGGGGCGAGCGAGGGGTGAGTGTGAGCCCGGGAGTGAGTCTGAGTGTGAGTGCGGGGCAAGTGAGTGTGAGCACACAGTCAGTGTGAGCATGGGGAGCGAGTGTAAGTGTGAACGTGGTGCGAGGAGCAGTGACTCACTGTGTAGGTGCTGGGAGCTGCTGTCCACTCTGTAGTTGGGCCGACGCTGCACATACACAGTCATGCTGTACTCGTGCTGAGGCGAGGAGTACGTGTACTAGAGAGAGAGAGAGTGAGAAAGAGAGAGATGTTACACTACCACAAATCCACAGTTTGGGCCATCTATCTTTAGTGATAAAATTTGTAATCTCGCCAGAAATGTGAAAAATTCTTAATTTTAGACATAATTTGGAGGCTGTCATGCCCTGTGAGTGAATCAATGGGAAGCTGTGCAGTTTTAGCTGGTCAGACTCCAGCAACAACAGCTTTCATTTCTATAGCACGCTTCACGCTGGGCAGCATCTCGGAACACTTAACAGTGGCGGAGTTGGCTGGTAAGGGAGGAGGAAGATCTTCAGGCATGACCTGAAAATGGGGAAGGAGGAGGCAAGGTGAAGGGCATCTGAGGGGGAAGGGTTCCAAAGCTTCGAGGCGTAGTGGCTGAAAGCACAGCTGCCGATGGTGGAGCGGAGGGGCCGAGGGACAGGAAGGAGGCCGGATCCAGCCAAGTGGAGGCAGTGGGTGGGAAAGTGGGGGAGAAAGCAGGTCAGAAAGATAGAGGGTGCCAGGATGTAAACGGATTTGTAGACGAATGAGAGGATCTTGAAATCGATCCATTCTGTCATAGGGAGCCAGTGGAGCCTGGTGTGATGTTGGCAGAGTTTAGGTGGGTGAAAATATGGGAGGCTGAGTTACCCAACGCACACTCTGGGGTCCCCAAGCCAACCCGCACCTAATACTTTCTGGGATTAGGTTAGCAGGATGGGTCCTGGGAGAGTGTATGTATTTCCATTCCAACAAACTATCTCTGGAATTTCCACCCCACCCCCAAGTTCGGCGTCAGGCTCCGCCACTGTTAAGTGTTCCGAGATGCCGCCCAGGGTGAAGGGTGCTCTAGAAATGCAAGTTGTTGTTGCTGGAGTCCTGTAGCTCAGTGGTTAGAGCATTTGCTTTGCAAGCGAGAGACCTGGGTTCGATTCCCTGCAGGGCGAAACCTTGGGCACGTTTCCTTACTCCACACACCTAATAAGAATCCCTCCAAAACAATAATAAATTGGTCATTTCAATCCACGACTGTTTGTGGGACACTGTTGTGCGCAATTGGCTGCCGCATTTCGCCCACAAATATACGGTCAATTCACTTTACAGTCTATTCTGTGAAGCACTTTGAGACGTCGAAAAGACGTGAAATGCGCTATATTAAATGCAAGGATTATTATCTGTTCTGACGAAGGGTCGTGGACCCGAAACGTTGACTCACTTTCCTTTCTCTATAGATGCTGCCTGACCTGCTGAGAGTTCCCGGCTCTCTCCGTTTCTGTTTCAGATTCCAGCATCTGCAGTATTTTGTGTTTTGTGCAAGGATTATTATTATTATTATTATTAGGGATGCATAGAATTCTCAGTTTGGTTTGGATATTCTTAAGCCTGGTGATGGGTTTCCTCATGTGTCAGACACCCGACTGACCAAAAAACAGTGCTTTGAGGGAAAGGTAGTGCTGTGTTAGGGCCAGTTCGCCCCGTGATCTGGTGCCTGACCCCACGCTGACCTGGTGCACCTGACAGGTGATGAAGTAACGTTTGGATTCGTCCTCGTCCACTTCCACGAAGGCCTCGACCACCACCAGCCGCCCCTCGATCACAAACACACACTCGTAGTCACCTTCGGGCTCCTGCAGGCACAGGGCAGAGCGCTCACTCACACTGCAGAAAAATCCTACACGTGCGCGCGTGTGTGTGTGTGTGTGTGCGCATGCAGTTTCCCCACACCCCCTGTGGGACTGGGTTTGTTTATTTTTTGGTACATTCAGGGTATTGGGGTGTGAGTAGGTGTTATATGTATGAGCCTGAGTTGTGTATGTGTGCATGTGCTTATGCTCGAGTGATGGGTGCTTTTGAGTGTGTGTGTACGTGCATGCGAGTGTTATGTTTGTGTGAGTATTTGTGTGTATATGTTCTTGTGCAAAGGATGTGTGTATGCAAGTGTTGTTCGTGTGTGCGTGTGTCTGCGCGGAAGAGCCTTACATGAAAGAAGTGCAGGTTGCGACCCTCCAGAGTGATTTTTCTCTCCACGTTTACTGGCAACAGAGCTGAGCCCTGAATACTGTGCACACAGGGACAGGCCTCGGCTCCCATCTCCAATCCCTCGTCCCTCTGTACAGAGATCACAGCCAGAGTCAGTCGCCTGAGAATACACAGCTTATTGCAGCCAAAGCCAGGACTGAGAGTTATAGTGCACGGGGAGGGGATGAGAGGAGAGAGCTCCAGTGGGGCAACAAGTATTAGATTCCTGCGAGGTGGAATTGTGGGCATTTATTTGGGCAAAAAATAACCTAATCACCTGAGATATTTTGAGTGATACTAATCGTCACCATTCACCTGCAAAATCACAATGTAGTGTTTCATCTCTAGATCATTATATGGATGATTTATAGATGAAACATTGTGTGCATCACATGCACCACCAATGCACAAATACACTCAAGCGTCAACCCCCACACTCACGCACCACATGCACGCACTCATGGACCACATGCTTGCACTTACACGTGTGCATGTACAGACACAGACGTGCTTTTGGGTGGCAACAATGATATGAGTGATGATGAGTGAGTGGAGGGAAATGCTCAGGTGATTCAGGTTACCAGAACACTGGATCATAAACAGACAGTCTGAAACTGTGATGGGAGGTTGGTGGAAGGAGTCCTGTAGCTCAGTGGTTAGAGCACTCGCCTCGCAAGCGAGAGACCTGGGTTCGATTCCCGATAGGGAGAAACCTTGGGCAAGTTTCCTTACTCCAAACGCCTCTGTTTACCTAGCAGTAAGTAGCTACCCGGTTGTCAGTTGATTGGTGGATCACTTTTCCAGGGGTAATAATTCCTTCAAAAAATATTAATAAATTTGTCACTCAATCCATGGCTGTTTGTGGGACGCTGCTGTGCACAATTAGCTGCTGCGTTTCACCCAAAAAATATACAGTCAATTCACTTTACAGTATATTCTGTGAAGCGCTTTGAGACATTTTGAAGACGTGATAAGTCGCAATATCAAATGCAAGGATTATTATCATTATCAGATGAACCGAAGGAACTTCTTCATCTGAACTACACGTGGGGACGAGAGTTTGAGTAAAATTGGGTCATTATTGTTTAAAAGTGAGCTGGTGCAGCCAAGGGGGATTTGATTGAAGTGTTTAAGATAAAGAAGGGAATAAAGAAGCCAGATAGAGGGGACCAACAAGAGGATATGATGTGAAGTGATAAGAGTTGGGGCGATGAGATCATTTCTGACACTGATGGTTGAGAGGTTACAGCAAAATAGGCGGGATAAACAGATGATTGAAAGGAAGATAGACAGGTTGTCAGGAAGGAAAAAGGACTAAGGAGTATGAGGAGAAGTGGGATAATGTGGTTAAAGTTCTAACTAACTGGTGGAACAGGCTTGATGGGCTGAAGGTCCACATTCTGTTCCTGCTTTCCTGTGCTCCACAGGAGGTTGATATTTGCTGGTCGATCCTGAAGGGGGCGCCATTTGGGCATGTTAGTTTTGGTGACCAATTTGTGCCAAAGCAAAATTTTACGAAGGTTGTGCGGGGGCTTGGGCGGTTGCTGTGGGGTGCCCAGGGCGGGTGAGCAGGGAGATACCATCACACAACCCCTCAGGAAACTAGTTAGCAGAAAACCTTTCATCCAAGGCAATGCTATCTCCAGCAGCCAGCACTCTGGCCGGGCTGTGACCACCAGCCTGGGGGAAGAGCAAAGCTCAGCCAAGTGAAATAATAATAATCCTCGCATTTGACATAGTGCCTTTCTCGTCGTTGAGACGTCTCAAAGTGTTTCACAGAATATACTGTAAAGTGAATTGACTGTTTAATTTTTGTGGGTGAAACAAGGCAGTGAATTGTGCACAGCAGTGTCCCACAAACAGTCATGGAGTGAGTGAACAAATTACTATCTTTTTTTTTTGGAAGGGATTATTACTCTCAGAAAGCAACCTGCCGATCGACTAGCAACCAGGTTTCCACTTACTGCTCGGTAAACAGAGTGATCGAACCAGGCGCCTCTCGTTTGCGAGGCAAGTGCTCTAACCACTAATGAGACTGAACTCCAGAAATGAGCTACTTACTTGTGGTGAGAATGGCGGAGAGCCCAAATCATAATGGTAGTCAACTTCGGGCTCAAGCAGATGGAGGAAGGCGGGAGAGGGGCTCTCGATGTCTCCATCCCCCGAGAGCAGCACAGCAGCAGCTGAGAAACCGGCAGTGTCATTCTCTCCGTGGGCAGGGTCAGCCCAGGCCTCGGGCTCTGTCCAATCACTAGCTTCCTTCACTGGCCAATCTGAATGTCTGGCGGGCAGGGCGGGGCTGGTGGGGTTGGCAGGAGGGGCCGAGGGCAGGACGGGGGTGGGGGTGGGCTCTGGGGCAAGGACACTGATGGCGGGGGGGTGGGGAGGGCCCGTACTGTTGAGAGGGTAGCCCGTGGCATTGAGGGCAGTGTGGGTGTGGGAGGGCAAAGAGGTGAGGCTGGTGTTCAGTGGCGAGGCTGCGGTGGGGGTAGAGGGTGCGGGGGAGGCCATGGGCAACACTGGACCAGTGGGTAGGGGCTGTGCCGTGGCGCTGGTGCTGACTGCTGTGGGCAGGTCAGCGCTGGGTCGCTGTGAGGTGGGCACAACTGGTACCTCCCCCGTGGTGGGTGCGGGCAACGTGGGGGCGGAGCTGGGTGGCGACATCGGGGTGTCAGTAACCCCGGGCGTGGTGCCAACCACAGTGGTGTGGGCTGTGGTCGGTGCCGGGGTGGCGAGAGGGGTTAAGGTGCTGGTTAGGGTGGTAGTTAGGGCAGTGGGTGAGGAGGTAGTGGTCAGGGGGAGACCAGGGTTCTGGTGGGTGGTGATGAGCCCAGAGTCAAGGACCAGGGCCGCTTTGGTCGGTAGCTGAGGAGCCATGAAGAGAGGAACGTACTGTCCGTCAGATGCCGACAGGAAGCAGAAACGACAGGGAGAGGAGAAGGAGTAAGAAACACACACAGACACAGACAGAACAACCCATTATTCGGCGATTTTCCATTTTAAAAACCAAAATCAAGAAAGATGCAAAAAACGAATCACAGTGAATTACTGGTAGAAAAGGCAGGGTCACACATCAGCTATTAAAGGAGCCATGCACATCCATCGGGCCGAACTTTACACAACGAGCCTGGTAGGAAGAGGAATTAGAGGCAGGGCAAACAGAGAAAAATGTTTTCCTTTAAATTTGTGGAATGGGTAACAAGGGGGTCATTAGCAGAGAAATCAGGTTAGCAGGTAAAGCAGTAGTGGCCAACCTGTGGCCCATGGGCCGGAGCAGACAGACGGGACCTCAGTTTAACATCTCATTCGAAGAACAGCGCTTCCAATAATGCAACACTTCCCAGCAGTACACTGGAGCGTCAGCTTAGACGATGTGATTCCAAGTCCCGACGTGGGGCTTGAACTCAGAGATCTCTTCTGACTCAGAGGCAACAGTGCCACCACCGCCCCAGGCTGACTGACATACATCACCCAGAAGGTATTTAGCAGCTGGGACACATTGCCTGGCAGAGAGATTGAGATTCATTTAAAAACACAGCCCGATGTTGTGATGGGAGGGTGGGTGGGGGTGGGGGATGAGATCAATGTGCGTGTTGAATGGCGCATGGCCCTTTTAATAGAGAGAATGGCTCCTAATGGAGAGCTAGACACATCCAAGCAGGTCACCCAAGCAAACAGTGAGTGTAAAAGCAAGGGAGCTGCAGGCTCAAGGGCTTCAGACTAAATAACCTGGTGAGAACACAGCAAAAGCAGCAGCCGAGACACTTCAGTCCATCTGCCTGGACCAGTATGACACCCACCATGCCCACCCCATCCCGTCCAACATCCATCCAACCATTTGGTCCTCTCACCATCCAAACTCAAACCCCGCCGCCGCTCCGCAATCCCTTCACATTATCCTCCCTCGATCTCAATTCACACTTGACGATGTGGTGCCCTTGTTATTGGCACCTTGAGCGCACACTAAGGTATTTAGGATCCAGAATACTTCAATAAGATCCTCCCTCATTGTCTCTCTCCAGTGTGATCATTCCCAACCCCCAACGTCCTCTCCTCACAGCAATGACACCGAATCACTGGGAATAGCTCAGACGCCCTTTGTTGGAACTCTCCAATACTGGAACTCTCCCACACTCCGGGCTCTTAAGTAATCCAAATTGGGGTTGTATCAAGCCTCAAGGTTACAGCCTAGGTTTTTCGGATATGTCTCCCCACAGCCCCTACCCCACACCATCCCCCAGCGCGGTGTTTGTGGCAACATTGACCCAGGTTAATGTGCTCGTCGAACTGCATGAGGGCTCTGAGCACTTACGTTCTCGTTGAAGATGATAAGGGGATCCTCACAGCTGGTGTTGTGGGTGCAGTGATGCTGCAGCACACACCAGTTACAGCCCCAGCGGCTGCTCACGCATCCACGGCACCTGTATTGGGCAGCAGGGAGACAACCTGTCAGTCCCCAGCACTGGGACTGGGCTTCCCATTGCTCCAGTCCTTGCTCTGCTCCTTCCACCTGAGTCTCTTTCACAGCGACCCGGGTTCTGCTGCACAAAGGGCATGTGATCGCAGCATCACTGTAAGCCGAAGCCCAACAGATAGGATGGTCCTAGCTGAAAGAGCAGCAGGAAGCTAGCCAGACAAGGCTCTCAATGGCAAGCTATTGCTGTTTTAGCTGGTTGGACTCCAGCACTTCCCCCAATGCACACTCTGGGGTCCCTAAGCCAGGCTCTTTAGAACCTGTGCCCAATATTCTATAGAAATAGGTAATACTCTCTGGAATTAGTAATTAAGCGGTCTGAGACGCTGCCCTGCGTGGAGGGCGCTATATAAATGTTGTTGTAAGCAGGGTGCATCCCTCTGGAGAGGGAATGCGCAATCCATTCTAGGCACAGGAAAATGTTCATGTGTGGGTGACATACATGGAACTCTTAGTTTGGTTTGGAGACTGTTAATCATGGTGATGGGTTTCTGCCTGTGTCAGAAAAACTGTCCTGCTGTCCAGAAAGACAAATCCCACATCCCAGCAAGAGTCGTCCAGAGTCTGACAGATGTATTCGCCCAGGAGTGGGTACAGCGCAGAGTCAGAATGACTT